TGTTTTCTAAAAATTAGTCAGCTGACTGTAAAATTTACATGAGACTGTCAAATTAGAAGACTAGTTCTATCTGATTTCAAGATTTTTACTATAAAAATATTGTCTAGAAACAGGCTCATACATCTATGGACAACTGATATTTGACAAAAATACAAAAAAAAGTAGGGAAAAGATAGTCATTTTAACAAATGATACAGGAACAATCAAATGTACACATTCAAAAATGAACTTTAAGGGGCTGGGGATGATTTAGCTCAGTGGCACCATGCCTGCCTCACGAGTGCAAAGTTCTGAGTTCATCCCTAGTACCGCAAAAAAAAAAAAGAACTTCAATCTATACTTTGCACCATATACAAAATTAACTTAAAATGTATCACAGAGCTAAATGTAAAACTTAAAACTATAAAATTTCTTAGGCTGAGTGTGGTGGTAGATGCCTATAGTTACAGCTATTTGGGAGGCTGAGGAAAGATCAATCACATTGGCCTAGGAATTTCAAGACAGAGTAGGCAATACAGCAAGACCCCCACCTCTTTAACAAACAAAATAAACTTCTGTTTTGGGGGAGTTTTTTGGTTTTTTGTTGGTTTGTTTTTTGTGGTACTGGGCATTAAACCCATAGCTTTCAAAGTAAGCTACATCCGCACCCTTATCTACCTATTTTTATTTTGAGACTGTGTCATACTACGTCACTAAATAGCCCATGCTGGGCTCCAACCTGTGATCCTCCTGCCTCAGCCTCCCAGAATGTTGGGATTAGAGGCAGTGCTACTACAGCTAGCTCAAAAGATACTTTTAAGAGAATAAGCCAACCAAATGGGAAATCAAGCCTTGAAAATTATGTACCTGATAAAGGATTTGTAGCCCAAATACATAAACAATGTTCAAAATAAAAATAAGAGAGCAAACACTCTAACTTCTAAAAATCACTGTAATAGCTAAAACTTGGAAACAACCCAAGGCCCATGAACTGGAGACTGAAAAATAAAAATGTAGGTTTTTTTTTTTTACAAAATGGAATGCTACTCAGTCATAAAGAATGAGAAACTAAATACATTTATAGCTAAATGGATGCATATTATCCAAAAAAATGAAATATCTAGGAATCAATCTAACAAAGGAAGCAAAAGACCTCTACACTCAAAACTACAGCACCCTGAAAAAGGAGATCGAGGAGGATATAAGAAAATGGAAAGACATCCCTTGTTCCTGGGTAGGAAGAAT